TCTTCTTCCCCAGTCTTGCATGCCTGGCATCCCATTATCTGAAACTCTAGATGGAAATCAGAGCCCACCCATCAGCAGTGCCCCCCATTCTCTTCCTTATCTCTGTCACCAGCACCCCCAGAAGGCAGCACATCCTGCTTCCCACTGCTCCCTGAGAAGCTTCATTTCATTCTCCAGGCACCCCATGGTGTTTGGAGGATCAGGATTTTTCTTCCTTCCATATGGTAAACCAGGAAGCATTTTCTGCTAATTTTGACCTAGAGATGGGAAACCTAAAGCACAGAGTGCACAGAGTGGATCACAATCCAAATCACAGGGATAGTCCATCAGTGCTGGGGCTAGAATCCCTGACTGTTACTTCCATCCCCAGACACTGACCACAAGGTCTGAGAGGGGATAAAAAGGTCTCTGTCCATGGGCCGGCCTGGGATGAGGAGTCAAGATCTTCATCCTCTGGAGGTGAGGCTAGACTCAGCAGCTGGGGAGAAGCAAGACTTTCCCAGAACACCTCCCCACCGCCCCAGGCTTCTGTTAGATGAGACCAAGGAAAGCTGGGAGATGGAAGGGGAAGCACTGAGACTGAGACAGTGTTCCATCTGCGGCCCAGGCCTAGCTGAGGAGACCAATTACCCAAAATCCCTGCTCCCCGGGGCCCCATCACTAGGAGCAGCTCTCATCACCTCCAGGCCCAAGCGGATCCCCCTTTATCAGAACCTTGGCACCAGCCTGTCTGAGCCTCCCCTACCTCTGACGCCCAGGACGTTTGTTTTGGTATCTGTGGTGGCTGTGGTCAGAGCATAATTGGGGTTGAAACAACCACTTGGACCCCCTGAAGGATAAACACACTGGGCTGGGGCAGCCCTGGAACAGAAGTGAAGACAGACATGAAGACAGCGGATCCAGGGAAGTCAGGCAAGCTGGGTGTGGAATGGCCAGGGGCTGGCGGGGAAGGGAGGGGACCAGGTGGAAGGACAGTGAGAAGGCCAGTGGTGTGCCCGCTTCCAGGGCAGCTGCTGCAGGGAAGTCAGTACTCTGATGCCAGCGAGGAAAACCTCCCCACTCACCCATCCTGGTCTGCAGCTGCCCTCAGGAAGCTTCAGGTCTAGTGAGGGCTTGAGCCTGGCTGTGAGGAAGTCTCTTGTGCAGTCGTTCTCAGACATGAGGAAGCTTGGTAACAATCCAGTTTCCAATCCATCCCCACAGCCTCCAGCTCAGTAGGTCTGAAGTAGGTGAAGGAGTAGCATTTGGAGAAACACAGGGCTTCATTGATGGGGACGTCCTGACATTGCCTTCAAGGAGCCTGAGAGCAGGAGATAGAACCCTGCCTGGGGCTGGGAGGTCTCACCAGGACCCAAAAGCCCTGTAGGGATCCAGGAAGGGCATTCTGGAACCCTAGCTAATATCTCCAGAGAGCTTAGGGGAGGGGTTTACAGCAAGGATACCTAGACAAGAACTGCCAAAGAGACATGACATTCTAGATATTTTCCTAGGACTCCAATTATGGCAGCTGGGGCTAAAGGAAGCCTGGCTGCCCTTGAGAGCCTGGTTCAGCCAGCTCCACCCTCAGGGCTCAAGGCATTTAAAGGGCCAGAGCCCTGCATCTTGGGTGGAAGCTGCCTGTTGGCTGGGTGGCCAAGCAGTGCTACGCATCCTCTTTCTGCAGTGCCTGGCCTCAGTGGAGGTGCAAGTGGGGGATGAGGGGCTTGGAGAAGTGTCAGGTTGGGGACCCTTTGGAAAGCCCAGTGTTGAAGCCAGAAGCCTCCTGCACCTGAGGATCCATTTGTGTGGCTGGGCAGCTCACCACTCTACGTGTGGGGGAGGGAGGAAGGGTCTGTGGGGGGACAGGGGTCCTTAAGTCTACTGGGTCCAAGCAACTCATAGTATTGCAACAAAACAGCAAAGGCTCCAAATCCTGAGGGCTGTGATGGGCTGGACCCCACTGACCATATTACACCAAACTCCTGTTTTGGCTGCTTCTCAGGGCCTCCCAGCCAAGAAAGAGGGATTGGGAAGTGATGGATTTGTGCCTGGGAAGGAGAGCTCTGACAGGCTGGCTGGTTCTTAGGGGAGCTGGACCAAGGCCAGAGGAGTCCAGCTGGCTGCAGCTTCCCCCTCCCTGGTCCCACTGTCTACATCCCAGAAAGTTCTGCACCCACAGTTCTTCTCCTGAGACGATCCTATTTGACGATGGCACCGTGTGGTTTGATGTGTGAAATGGGTCCTGTCCTCTGGTCCCACCGAGGCTAAGGGCTCCCCCAATCCGCAAGACCCCATCCCATATCCGCCAACTGCCTATCACCCTTTCCTGGCAGAGCCCACCTTTGCAGAGGCATCTCCTCACCTAAGTGCTGCCTCCTGCCTTTCCAAGCTGCCGTCCTGGGTTTTAGGTCTGCCATCTGGTGGACATCGCCATAACTACTGCCACCACCTTCTCCCGAGGCCCGAGAAGGCGTGGCCCGAGAGAGCGGCCCAGGCCCTGGGGCAGGACGGCGCTGGGGGAGGCAGGTCTCCTAACCCCGCGGACCCGCCCACATCCTGCTTCCCGGGACGGGAACTCCCGAAGCTGGGCTTGATTGGCCGGAGAGTCAGGTGGTGAGCAGGAACCTCCAGGTAGAGGCTCCCCCAGCTCTACACGCCCAGAGCCTCCGGAAGCTCAGAGGCCACCCAACAGCCTCCCCCACCTTCCGTCCTGTCTCTCCTGTCCAGCCCTGGAGCGGCTGCTGGTGCTGAAGAGCTCCTTTACGTGCTCTGGAGCCGGACCCCCTCTGCCCACCATCCCCTCAATCCCCTTGCCTGTGGCTCCGTGCCTTGCACACCCGTGAACACCTGCAGCTGGGTGCACCCCAGTCCTGAGGATCCACCTCGGAGATGGGAGGATGGAAGCCTCATTACAGGATTCCTACGCACGACCTGGCAATAGTGAATAATTTATGTACAAGGCGGAGAAGACAATAAATGAGCGGCAATGATTAACATGAGCTATTTTACGTGTGAGAAAGATCTATGGCAGGAAGTTGCCAGGTTGCTGGTGATTAATGCGGCAGTTTGGTCTGGCTTCTGGGCCTTTATATTCAATTATGGGTCTGGAGTGTGTGGGGGGTCCTGGGATGGCATGGGGGAGACTGGGGGTTCAGGAAGGGAATGCTTGATGCCTAGGACCAAGGGTGAGTGACAACAGGTGGCAGCCTGGCTTTGTGGGCACTGTTACTGATGAGGTTAGGCTAGTGGGATGGAGTAGTGGTTATTTCTGTGATGGGAGTCACCTTGCCCTTGGGGTCACCTCTAAAAACTAGCCAAGGGAATGCCTTGGAAGGGGGCATGGATGGAAGGAGGCATCCTTGGGAAAATCTGACTCTTCCAGACCAAATGTTGGGCTTCTGAGCCCCCTACCTGCCTGCCCAGTGCTGCCACCTCCACCCTGCTAGGATTGGATGATTAGCCAGCTTGGGGTGGGGGTGAGTGGCTAATGCTGGAAAAAGTTCCCCATTAGCAACAGAGCCAGGGAAGCAGGTCCTGTCTCCAGACCTTAGGGAGGGCTGGTGGCAGTGGGGCAGGCTGGAGAAGGAGGCTCCGGGTGCTGTCCTCCCAGCTGACCCAGGAAGCCCTGGGAGGCCCCCTCCCCAGATTCCCACACTGGGGCCTCTTGTCCTCAGCCAGCTCCAGCTGGTCCCCATCAGTGCCAGGGGTTCCAAAGACCAGTGGCGGCTTTGGGGTTAAGTGATTTCCCCCTGCCCCTCCCAGCCCTGGCTCCTGTCAGCTCCTTCCTCCTCTTCCTCCTCCTCCTCCTCCTCCTCCTCGGTGACCTCCATGCAGTGTGGCCCTGCCTCCCTTCAGAACCCAAGGGTTGTCATGAGGCAGGGGGAGGGGGGTTGTGTTCTTCTGGGAGCTGGGCTGACAGCTGGGCTCAGGGACCCTCTGGGCCAGGCTGGACTGGGAGGTGTGAAGGAACAACCCCTCCTTCCCCCAGCCTGGTGGGGAGCCTGCCCTCAGTCACTGTACCCACAGGCAGGCCAAAGCTTCAGGATTCCAGTCCCGGGGTGGGAGGAGGTGCTGAAAGAAAAGAAGGGAACAGCATGGACCTGGCCGGGTGGGACAGGCACAGGAGGAGGCTGGAAGGGCAGCCAGTTTCTGGCTGGAGAGAGTCTCTGGTTCATCCCCCACAAGTCCCCACTCCTTGCACACCCTGAGGTTTTGCGGGAAGCAGTTCTAAGTCCTCGGGGTGTGTGTGTCTCTGTGTATGAGCCTGTGTGAGCATGAAATTCCATGTGTGTCTCTGGTGAGTGGGCCCGCGGCTGTGTCTGTGTCCGAGCGCCTGTGTGGGTGACCATGTGAGCTGACCCCACCTTGGGCCCCGCTCACAGCCCTGTCTACCCAGCCTTCCCCCACAATGGTCTTCCTCAGCTCCTAATCCCCTGTTTGCCCGGCTCATCCCTTGGACTCCTTGGGACTCCATTAATGAGCCCTGACCACCCCAGGACAAGCCCCAAATTAACCTCACTGCTGACCCCGACATGGACACCTGTAATTAGGCCAGGAGTGGCTGAGGCAGAGAAGCCCCTGGGGCCCAGTAGGGTGAGGGCAAGGCTGGGCTGGGACCGGGAGCCTAATGCCCAGGAATGCTCTAAAAGCTGTGCCTGGCTCCAGGGCCCGCCGCCTGGCTCACCTCTAATACCTCACAAAGCCTCCCAGACGAGGCTCCGGGGAGGATTACCTGTGGAGGGGCCCTGGAGGTAGGCAGGGCTGCAGCAGGCCCACCCTGCCAGCTGGGGCTGGGGAGGCCTTAGGAAGGGGAAAGCTACCCCCCTACCCTGCCCCAGCCTAGGACAAGGTCCCCAGCAACCCGGCACCTGTGCCCATGATGCCCGGGGAAGAGCCAAGTCCAGGCTGGCTGGTGCATCCCCCTCCAGCCCCCAGAGGGCTGGCCCCTCCCCTCCCCCAACTTGTTTTGTTTGCTCTGCAGCGTGTTTCAGTAGCTCCATCCGCATTAACCCCTGACCCTGCCTGTACTCTCCCACCCCTCTGACAACTGTGTTTACCCAGTGGCTTTCTCAGGCACAGAAGGGAGGGCTCCTCCTTTCCCCTCCCGCCCAGCCTCTTCCAGGGGAAGCTGCACTCCCTGTCCTGTGCACTCTCCTTGGGACTCTTGTATCCCAGGAGCTGCCAGAAAAACCCACAAGTGTGCCTGGGAACAACTGACTCGGCTACAGCTAAGCAGCTGGAGGTGGCACCTACAGCGGTTTGCAGTGAGGGTAGACTGGTGCAATCCCCTTGATGTGCGATCTGGCAGTATCTATCACAATTTTCAGTGAACATGTCATCTGACCCAGCAATTCCACTTCTAGGAGTTTGTCTATATATGTGCTGCACTTGTGTTCAAAGAAATATATCAAAGATATTTATTGCAGCAAAAATAGATTGTTTCTAGAGCTAAAAACTAGACACAATTGAGGTTTCCATCCAGGGACTAACTAAATAATTAAAACATAAGCATACAACAGAAGACTATGCAGCCATTCAAAAAACAATGTGCATCTTCTAATCTAGAATGATCTTCAAGATATAAGGATAGCAAGGTGCAGGAAAGAGGGTAGAATATGCAAACATTTGGGGAGGAGAAAGAAAAAAGTATGCAAATAAACAATCATATATCTTTGAAAATATCTTGGAAAAAATCTTCTAGAGGTTAACAATGGTAGCCCGTGAGAAGAGGAACTGAGGGCCTGGAGTGGAGGGAGACAAAGTTTTACTGTTATACTCTTTTGTACTTTTTGAATTTTTAAACTTTGTACATATTTTACCTTTCAAAAACAAACTTATTACACATACAAAAATAAATAAAATGCATATACCCTTGGACCCAACTATTCAATTTCTAGAAATCTAGCTTGCAGAAATACACAAGTACACAACGATAATACAAACATGGTCTATTGTTTAGATGACTAAATACTGGAAACATCTAAATGCTCATCAGTTGGTAATTGTTTAAATAAATGATGGTACATCCGTACTGCAGAATACAAAGAACGAAGCGACCTGTATGTACTGGCATGAAAAGACCACAAAGATGAAGGTAAGAGAAAAAAGCAAATTGCAAAACAATACAAAAATACCATTCCATTTATGTTAAAAAGAAAAATAACTATGCTTCTCCATGTACATCTATATTACATAAATGTATCCCCAAAACTCTGGAAAAACCACCATGAGAGGGAGAAGTGGGATGGGGGGGTCAATCTACATGCTCTGTACATACAGGAAGACTTCACCAAGCATTCCGTGTATCATCACACAGTAACATAAATAAAAGCTCATAAAAAGAGCAACCGCACCAGTCACTCACCTAGTTTCCTCCCACCACATAGCTTCTGGAACCCTCATGACCATGCAATTATTATCCTTATATCACAGAAGGGAAACCAAAGCTGAGAGAGATTATGTAACTTCCCCAGGGTCACACGGCAAACACAAGCCAGAGTCATGCCCTGAAGCTTATAGCTTGTCCATGGCGGCTCTCCTCAGGGTCGACATTTATCCTCTGTTCTGAGCCTCTTCAAGGGTGTGGGCATCTGGGCTGGAGTTGATCATTCCCCCACTGGACTCCTAAGACCAGCACATGGTGACCCCCCCCCTTCCTTTCCTGTCCATCTTACTCCATCCACCCCCAGAGGACCTGCCAGGGAACCCAGCCAGGGGCGGGCTCCAGAAGCCAGTGCAGCTCCCGGCCTTGGCATGGCTGCCAGCTTCCCTGTCACCTGCTCCTGTCCTGGTGCCTTCTTGCCAGTGAGAGCCCAGTGCCCATTTCCTGCTAACACCCCCCTCCTCACCACAGAGCACCCCCTTAATTACACTTAATGGCAAAGACCATAAGAGCTTTATTAACTTTATTATGGACCCAATTAGCAGCTAATGCTCCATGACTACTGTCCCCCCCCAATAATCCCATTAGATGTAATGAAGCAGCCTTCCCCTTCCCTGCTGGGTAAGGGCCGAGGGGACAGGGAAATCCATCTTCCTGGCCTGATTCTGCCCCCTCAGGCCCATTGGACACCAGCTCAGGCCCTGGAACTTCCTGGGGACCAGGGCTGGGCACGTGAAAGACAAAGATTAATCAGCAAGTATTTCGGTGCCAGCCATTGAGCCCACACACACGTGTGTGTGCACACTCATGTACACACAGCCTGTCTGATGTCCAAATAGCTCTTTTCTCAAAACGGGAATGTGGAAACACACATTCCTCAAGCACAACCCCATCCAGCACACCAACATTCTCCAGCCTTGTCCAGGAGTTCTTCAGAGCTGGGGATGTTCCAGTCGAGGGCCTCTGGCTGGGCTTGTTACAGAGCAAGGGATCGAGGGATCGGAGAGCTGGGAAGTGGGGAAGGCTGAGAGTGAGGAAGGAGAGTCTCTCCCTCGAAGCCACACTCTCAACACCCCCAGGTTCTTCCCTGCTTTGGCTGATCGTTTCCAATATTTATTGAACACTCACAATGGGCCAGACACAGTGCTAAGCCCTCCCTGCCATTGCACTTGGGCATCACCACACCTGAGGAAGTGGGTGTTATTTCTCCCACTTCACACATGAAGAAATTGAGGCACAGAGAGATGACGAGCTTTTGAAACAGGTGTTCTATGTGATTTACCTTAAAAGGTTCTCCTCCCTTCTTCCCCAGCAACCCGCCTTCCCCGTCCTAAGGCAGAAGAGGCAGACATCATGGAGAGAATTCTGTTCACTGCCTATAGATGGAAAACTAAGGCACAGAGAAGGTACAAAGGACAATTGTCATGATTGTGATAAGACAGCCCATGGGGTGTGATTCCACATCAACATTGACAGGGTGAGAGACTAGAAACCAGACAACACTCTGTCCCTGCCCTGATGCAGGATCCTGTGTGAATGAGAGGCTGGTGGGATGGGGCATGGGCTGAGCAGAGAGCAGCCACAACAGGCTAAATCTCCCAGCCACCCCAGTGATCAAAACCTTAAGACCTGGGGATTCTGGTCCCTGAGGGTATGTTCTTGGGATCTCCGTCCATCCCCACTCTGAGCACAAGAGCTGCCTCAAGATGGGGCAGGGAAAGCACACAAATTCTCCAGGGACTTGGGTCCCTCCACCCGGCTGTGGTCCCGGATAAGGAGTGAACACCAAGACTGACAGGATGGGATCAGTGGCTGCCCTGAGCAAAGGGGCAGGGCTCAGAAAAGGGGACCCTTGAACCTTTGCTTGGAAACAGGCTCCCTGTTCCTGCTCCCCTCCCCCAGGCTGGCCCAGCCTGGAAGCAGCCACTTGAAATGGGTCCCAGGGAGCCTGGGAGAGGGTCTGGCCTGGCTCCAGCCTCCAACTCCTGACGCTCCAGCTGGGCCCACTTCGCTAATGCTCCCTCTAGCCCAGCCCAGCTGGGGTCAGGGGGTGAGAGGAAGAGTTTTCTCTCTAGGCCCAGCCAAGTCAGAATCCTGCCCCAGCACACAAAACCCAGCATCCCTCCAACAGCTCAATCCTGGGGAGGCGGGTGGGGTGGGCAAGCCAGCACCCTCTCCTTTCCCAAGAGGCCATAGGGCCTGGGGAGGGGGCAAATCCTACTGCCTGGGGTAACTCTGGGACAGAATACTGGGGAGCCTCCCCAGTTGGGACCCCCATTCTTCCCTTTGCCCTGGATGAGTGTGCTCTGACATCAGCTCCCTCCCCCCGCCTGCTCCCAACCCCCTCACCCCCACACCCCAAAACAAACAGTAGCACCACCTTCCCCACTCTCCTTACACCCAGAGGGATCTAGTGCCCAGGTAATCTCAGCTGGAGAGATCCATCAGCCAACAGTGGACACTGTGGAACCTTGGTGGAGGATGGGCCAGGGTAGGAGAAGTGAAATTTGGAGTCCTTGGGGAAAAGTTAGCCTCTGCTGAGGCTCTGGCTAGGGAGCAAGTATTGGCTTTACTGTTTTCTGGCTGTGTGAACTTGAGCGAGCCTCCCAACCTCTCTGAACCTCAGTTTATCATCTATAAAATGCGGCTGAAAATAGAACTTGCTTCATAGGGCTTTTTGTGAATATGAAAGTAGCAATGTATATAAAACCCTCAGCAAATCTCTGGCACTTAGAACACAATAAATGAAAGTTATAGTATTGCTGTCTGTAGGGGTGGGGTGGTCCCTAGATTGGTAATGATGATTGTAATGATAATGACAATAATAATAGGTAACATTGTTAGAATATGCAGGGACCAAAATCCCCTCAACTAACCCTGTGCCTGGCTCTTACTGAGAAAGGAGGAAATGACTCACATCTGCTCACCTCAGCCCTTCAAGGCCTCCACTACCTGTAGCCCACCCTGGCATGATGATTTCAGAGGACTGACCAGGTCCTGGCTCACTCCCAGTAAACACTAAAGGTGCCCCAGCACATCTTCTTACCTACCTCCCCCTCCCCCTCATGCACACCCGGGCACATGCACAATGTGCCTTCTCCTTGCATTCCCTGGAGCAAGGAGAGGGACAGAGATATCAGGTTTGAAGGATGTGAAAATTAGCTGAAGCTGAGAGAGGTGTCAATTTCAAGGCAGTGCCCCCACCCCACCCCTTCTCTGCCCGAAGGATGGTGTTTCCACAAGTCTCTGCAGGGAACACCCCATCACCCCCACCCCAGGTGTGGACTGACATTGTCAGGTGGGGAGGAGGGGGTTGCCAGCAAAAGCAGCTGCCCCAGCCCAGGGGCTGACACCAGGGATGGGGTCCCCAACCAACCCCCCAGGGCTCAAGTTTGTGGCCAGGGGGTAAGAGCCCAGAGGAGAAGATCAGTCTGACCTTCTTGATCCCAGTTTCCTTGGCGAGAGGTGAATGCGTTGGGGGCTGAGCCAGCTGGTTGGGGGAGCAACTCTTCCTGAGAGGAGAGAAGAATCTAAGACACTGTCCCTTATCTCACAGTATCTTCCCAGCTCCACCTCTGGCCTGTCTAAAGGTCTTGTTGGAGTCTCTGGCTCAATTTTCCCACCTCTCAAAGAGGGCCAAGAGCTGGTACTTTCTCTACCTCCTGGCAGTGATCAAACAGCAGGGGGTGGAGCTCCGGGAGAGGAGACCCTGGCAGAGGAGCCGGTCCCCTCGTCCTGTCTCTGTCATCGTTAACAGCCACAATTATTATTATTTGGAGAGACGGGCCAGAGGTGGTTGGGGACGTAGTTGGGGTGAATGAAATGAAAAACTCCCCGGTATGTGCCATCTCGCCAGGTTAATACTCCTGCCTGTCGGCCTGACAGCTGCAAGATTGATTACCCAGGCCTCCCGCTCTTTATAACTCGATCAGTCGAATTAATCTCTGGCTGTCGGCCCATCTGATGCCTGAATCACAAATTTAATTTGGAGGTGTGCAGCTCCTCCCCCATCCCTTCTCCTCCCCCTTCCTCTGGTCCATCCCGTCTTCCTCCTTCCTTTTCCTCTCCCCTTTCCTCCTCTTCCTCCTGCCCCTTGCTCCCAGCTTTCCTATTCCTCCAGTTCTTCCTCCCCTCTGCAGACTCTCAGGCCCCTCAACTAGGCAGCGGGTGGAGGAGGAGGGAGGGGGCGGTGGGCAGCCCTGAGTCAGCAGCAGCCCCTCTACCCGGGCCAGTGGAGGGGTCGTGTTCACCCACCCACCGGGCAAGGCGCTCACCCCACCATGCTCCACCCCAAACGGAGAAAGAGGCTTAGCTGACACTAAGTAAGACATATTAATGTACTAAAGACTTAATGAAGTTGGGGGGGGGTGAGGGGTGGAAAGTGCTTGCTTTATTAGTTTATGGCCGATTAATGGGGACGCCATTACTGTGATGGAGATGGATTGCTGCTGTCAGCAGCCTGGGCTGAGGGCCGGCCGCTGCTCCTTTCCTCGGGTGGTGGGTGCCCCGAACAGAGTCAGAGAGAACTTCATTAGAAGCATCTACAGGATCCCACCTGGGGAGGGCCCGAGGCCAAGCTGGGTGGATAGGGGCAGAGGCTGAGCTCTGGCTTTGGTGGGGAATTCCAAGGCGTCAGGGGCTGGGAGCTGATATCAGCTGGAACTCACCCAAAGGCAGCGGGGCAGTGGGCTTATCCAGCTCTGGACCTGCACACAGCAGGGCTCGATAGTCACCTGAGGAAAGGGAAGGAAGAAGATCATAGGACAGAGTAACTGGCACCCAATTGATCTGCCTGAGACCCTTCCCGGGATGACAGGAGTGGAGAGTGAGGGAGCTGTGCCCTGTCCTTCTATCCTCCCTGATAGGGGGACAGTGCACAAAGACTCCAGGTCCACTGGCCCAGAAGACTGTGCAACCCACCAGGCAGCAAATCTGCCCCTAATGCTAGAACCCCCAGCACCAAGGCCAGGGGCTTCACCCCACACTCTCCAAACGAAATGGAGATGAAAGCCACATTACCTCAACTCCCTCTGAGCACCGACCCCCAGACAGCCAGTAGGAAGGGGTGGGGTGGACTTAGGGCAGAGCAATGGGGGACAGTGGGGCAGACACTTCCCAGCCTCCAGTCTGGGAGACAGGTGGTCCCAGTCATGAGCAAGCTACCCAGACACACCCCTGGTGGCCTCCCCATCCCCTCAGCTCCTTCTTACCTCCCTGACCCCTTCCATGACCTTTTTTCCAGGAAGAATGATAAGTAACGGCTAGATCTGACACATCTCTGCTCCAAGGGGCTACTTTCTATTCGGAAGCCTCCAGATGCCCTCAGACCTCAGAGTCTTCTATGAGCTCATGTTTCCTAGGAGCACATGACAATTTGGCATGGGCATTTTATTGTAGGACCATTAAAATTTTTCAGTAGTTTTTTTGTTATCAAGTGATGTTCAGAGCAGACAGTCCTCAGCCCTCCCTAACCCCCACTCTGTCCTGAACCCCTCCCAGCCTAAACCCCATCATGAGAGGAATCAGGGATGAAAAGAGATTCTAAGAGAAGCTCAGAATCACAGCCTGCAGACCAAAGCACATGGTACTAAAAATACATTTGTACATTTTGACATGTTAGGCAAAACAATGGTGGCAAACTGATAGAGCCCAAATACCCTATTTTGTTGTCTTGCCTTTTTCCTCACCATGTGCACCCCACATAAAATGCATGTCTGAGCACCAGCCCATCAATCACAGCCTGCAGACCAAAGCACATGGTACTAAAAATACATTTGTACATTTTGACATGTTAGGCAAAACAATGGTGGCAAACTGATGGAGCCCAAATACCCTATTTTGTCGTCTTGCCTTTTTCCTCACCATGTGCACCCCACATAAAATGCATGTCTGAGCACCAGCCCA